CCCCCTGAACGGGCCTCAACTGGCCAATGGGTGTGTTTCCCCTCAACACTCGTCCATCACACAACACACACACACACACACACACACACACACACACACACACACACAGTTGCATTTGGAAAACTGCTGTGGTATGAGAGGAATAACACACTTGGGGACATGCTGTTATAGTCCAACAAATCCCCAACACATCACTGGTGCCCAACTCCCAGCCACTGAACATCTTCACCACATGAGATATCTGTGTAAGAGCACGCAACATCATCAGTGACTCCTCCACCCCTGTCACAAACTGCTCCACCTCCTTCCATCCAACAGGAGCCACAGCAACATTCACTCCAGAACCAGTAGGCTCAGGGCGCCAGGTTCTTCCCCACAACCATCATCACCCTGCTGAACTCTTCACTACACCGTCAGGCCACTGATGTTCTCCTGCTCCATGCTGAACTGCATTCCACTGCTGAGTACCTGTACTGTACTGTGCTGTGGAAGCAGTAACTCCATTCATCACACCCCCATTGATCATTATCCTATAACAACATAACACACACTGATTTATCCTACGTGTACTCTTTCTGAAATACCTGAATTAAGCAGCGAGATTCCTTGGAATCTAAAGAAAGAAGAAGAAAAAAAACACGCATTTGTACATATGTCTGCAGAAACCACACTTGATGACATCTGGGTTCTGCATGGTTCCTCCACTACAGTTTTGTTAAGCCTCAATAAAAATTGATAGCGCTGAGAATTAATAACACCTGAAACCCGAAGGTAAGTGACACGATACGGCTGGGGCTGGATGGGGGGATGTAAAGTTTGAAAAAGGGAGAGGGGGGGCCACACGATGGCAACATGCTGCTTCTCAAAGAACATTCAGAACAAATAACTTCGGCGAAACTCGGGAGATCTCTGTCAGAGCTAGAAATGTCCTCACTGAATGAAACGAGGATTCAGCCAGAAACAAAACACTGACGTGTTCTGCTGTTATAGTAAAGACCTTCTGATTAGTTTCCCATAACAGCACGTCCCAGAGTGTTTTATTCCTCTTATACCGCAGCAGTTTGACAACTATTACCATGTTTACTTATTGAAGAACCCTTTATGGTTACATTTAATGGTAGCTCAGTGGTTAAGACATCGGACGTTTTACCAGAAGGTCATGAGTTCAAATCCCAGCACCACCAAGCTACCACTGTAGCTAAATCCTAATCTTGACGGGAATCCAGCGAAGAGATGCCAGAAATGGGGAAATAGGATTCCTCGTTTTTGGTCCCTGATAAAAATCTCAGCTGCTGCATTTTGCAACGCGCTACAGACGAGATAAGGCAAGATCGATGACGGCCAACATACGAAGAATTACAGAAGTCCGTGATGTAACAAGAGCGTGAGTCACGGTTTTGAGGTCTTTTCTAGAGAGAAACTGTTTAGCTGTTTCGCAATAGGTCTTAAATGAAAGAAGCTTCCCTTAACAACAGAGAGAGAGGGGGCTAACTGGACCACAAAAGCAGAAGAAACAAAATAATGACTTCAGTTTTGCTTTCATTTAACTGCAGACGATTGTTAGCCATCCAACATTTAATTTCCTCAAGACATCTAAAAGGGACCCAAAAGGATTGATGCCATTTGACCAAACTGGAAACATCATATTTCCGAATAATAGAACCCAGGGGAAGCCTATAAAGGAAAACAACAGAGGGACCAACAATATGGAGCCCTGAGGAACACCACACACGATAAGGACGCAGAATAAAGAAGATAAATTTCCTATGCCTACTGCCAAAGTCCTATCTTTCAGATAGTACAACAACGCTGTGTACAAGCTGTGGGCGCCAGTTTGTAGAGTGGGTTGTCCACTAATCATAGGGTTGGCGGTTCGATTCCTGGCCGGGTGACTCCACATGCGAAGTGTCCTTGGGCAACACTGAACCCAAGTTACTCCCAATGGCAAGTTAGCGCCTTGCATGGCTGCTCTGCTACCACTGGTGTGTGTGTGTGAATGGGTGAATGAGACACAGTGTAAAAGCGCTTTGGATAAAAAGTGCACATTTACCATTTACAACAAAGCCAGACCCTCCGGTACCAACCACAGACTCTAAGCGATTTAAAAGTCAATAAGATCCAATAAGACCATCACAGCACAAGTGACATTATCATATCATTAGTAACCTTTAACAGGGCAAATTCAGTGCTGTGTAAACATCTCAAACCTGACTAGAACTTGTCTAAAATATTTGAAAAATAAGTGTGCATAAACAACTTTTTTTTCCAGCTGCGAATAACAGGCGATTTGGGAATAGGCCAAATATAGTTGTTGTGTGTAAAGTTGGACCAAGATAAAGTTTTTTAAGCAAAGGCTGCACAATTGCATGTTTCAGGTTGGCTGGTACATCCGTAGCTAAAAAGCGATTAATAGCCGCTGTTCACAGCTGGACTGATGGTTTCCAAAACCCTCTTTCAAAAGATGTGCAGGAGGAACATCCATCATACAGCGTGAACACTTCAAATGTGAATTAAACCAGAAAGCTGGGCTTAGGAGACTGCGGGAAAGTTTGTGAAATACCCGAGGTTCAGGTCCAACAGCCCAAGAAGGATTTAGCATAGAATCAATAGTATTAAACGATACTTTCGGCCGATTTGCATTCACAGCTATTCATTTGGAGAGATCATTTGTTCGCCTCTTTCACGGACCTCTGATCGTTTTATTAAACCGTCTTAAAAATATCATAAGAGACATGCAATTTTATTTTTCTTCCACTTACGGCTCCATTTTCCTGCACTCTTGTCTAAGAGCATGGGTGCAATCAATAAGCCGGCGGTTTATCACGGCTTTCTTTCTAACTCTCCTGGACTTGAATGGGCGATAGTGTCTAAGGTAAGCTTTTAAGGTTTTATTAAAAACTTCAACCAGCTCAGCACAGTATCCATATCGTTATTAAAAGCATCAATAAAAACGATCCCGATATGAATCTGAGAACACACTAGCAGTAGAGGCGTGGATGAGGCTGAGAGATAGAGGTGAGAAGATGAACGACAGAAACAAACCGATTCAAACATAACTGAAGAACGATCAGAAATACCAGACGATTGGTTACAGCGAAACCAGAGGGGCATTACAAGATCAAGTGTATGACCTAAATTAGAGACAAATTGCACAAGATTCAGGGGATTCCAGAAGACATGAAAAATCTTTTACTAAATGTTTAACTGGACAACAGAGATGAATATTAAAGTGCCCAAGGATCACTCTGTCATAGCGAGACACTAAATCTGAAAGGAACTGAGAAATTTGATAGATAAATCCTTTTGAAATTTGGGGGACTGTACCGAGTACAAACAACAGGACCCAAAATCTCAATCTTCAACAATTGGAGCTCGAGAACATGTCTACATGCAGGGTCCTGCTTTTGAATTTATTACTTAAAGGTGTGGCAACACACCTCCACAAGTCCACCAGAGGTCCTGGGAGTACTGAAGAAAGCACAATCAGGCGGACAAGAGTTCACGGGAGCAGTGAAGTCGTATACTTAAAAACTGAAACTGTTCGGGTTAACTCCCTTTCTCTCACCGGGCACGGACCGGGATACGGTGAAATGAGGACTAAGACTGCGGGATGAGGGAGACAGCCCGATGTCCACGAGGCGATTCGACGAGATCCTCGATGAATATACCGTGAACACGGCGTAAATTCCCAAAGCCGCACATCCGTTGTAGATTTCAGCAGGAGACGAGAAGAAGCATTCAGACGCTGGAAGTCTAGAGATGAATAACAGCACCATGCCCAGAAAATTAACAAGGCATAAGCCTGAAATCCACCAGCGGATAATCGTCTTCCAGGGAGGAAAAATGCTATGCTATGCTAAACTCCACCAGACCAGAGCGAACGGCAAAAGACGGATCATCATTTCAAGCCCATCTAAAAAGGTATCAGAGAGCAGCCCGTGAGAAAGTGTTAAATTCCTCGTGAGGATGCCGGATATTGTACCATTCAAAAGAGCACAGGCTTGCAGTTAGGCCAATGAGATGTCCACTTGCATGAAGAGATTAGGAAATCAGTCCACGGTGCCTCAAAGCCCAAAAAGGAAAGGTGGTTTCGCGGGAGGTCATACCATTTTAAAATAAACACCAAAACCGAAGAGCAGCAGCAGAAAAAACATGCCAGCGTTCACTCAACTTGAAATAACCAATATTATCAACAAAGGAGTATCAAAGAGCATCAATATTCTCCTCGATGAGGCAGAGGAAACAAATCAACCTTCATCTGGACAGACCAAAAATACAGACAGACAGACAGATAGTTGGAGGGACAGAAGGACAGCGTGGCAGACAGGCAGAAAGAGGTACAGACGGGGGTAGCCAGTTAGACAGACAGATACATACATAGACTGGATAGATTAGCAGACAGGCAGAGGGACAGACAATAAGACAAACACCCAGACACCAAAACAGGCAGACAGACAGACAGATAGTTAGAAGAACAGACAGACAGAGGCACAGACAGATGAAGCAACAGACAGTCAAACAGAGGGAGAGACAGACCAACAGACACACAGTAGGACAGACCGACAGAAAGACAGACGAGGGCCAGACGGGCAGAGAGGTAGAAGCCGACCAACAGACAGATGAAGCGACAGAGAGACAGATAGACAAACAGAAAGACTGACAGACAGATACAGAAAAAAACAGACAGATGGAGGGACAGACAGATAGAAATATTGGTTGTTATTTGCTTTGCTCTCCAACGACATCAGCAAACTTAAAATGTGTAAATGCAGGTGCTCTCCTGCGTACTGAGGACACCTACACTGCACCTTTAGTACATTTCTAATTATTCCGGGACTGTGAGGAGTAATATTTGGGAGCTCAAAGAATATTTCTTGGAAGAAGCAGCTTTTAACATTTCCAGCAGACGCACTTATCCAGAATGACTGACATTTATCTCATTTATACATCCGAGCAGTTGAGGCTTAACGGTCTTGTCCAAGGGTCTAGCAATCACAGTTTGGTAGTGCTGGGGTTTGACCTCATGACCTTCCGATCAGTAACCAAAAGTTTTAACCACTGAGCCCCCACTGCCCACAGACAGACTGGCCAGCACCTAGAGAAACCAGACAGAAACAGCACCAAAAAACAAGTCTCTTGGACTACACAGGCCTGCTCCACGAGTCAGTATAGCCCCAAACCCAGCTCTGGCAGGGCTGCTCCTGAACAGCAGGGCTGCTCCTAGTCATCATCAGATTCAAACTGCTGCACCACATCGGAGCTAAAAGCAGTGATCCTTAACCGCTAAGCTGCCACTGATAATTAGCCGACATGCTGAATCAGGTGAATCAGAGTAGTCTGCAACCCTGATGCCTTGGAGCTGTGTTTCTCCAGAGTTTCCGAATTCTGAACCTTGCATTAAGGTTTCAGTCCCTCAGGAAAATAACCTTAGAGCAGTGAGACAGTTAGTCCGGTCCTAATGCAGAGTTCTAGCCCTATTATTCTTAGAAGATGGATGAGGTCTAAGCCAGTTGAGGATTAAGAGTCAAAGGTGGCTCACAGACAGTCCTAAGATTTGTAGTTTTCCAAACACTTAATCAATAAACTACTACTGGCCTGATTCATGTTACGAATCACACCTGTTATGGTCAGCATAAATATTTCCTCAGCATGCTCCACTTCAGAAACTATCTTTGGAAAGATCACATGCAGACGTTCATTCATCGTCAGGAAGCGCTTTATCCAGCTCAGGGCTTCAGGGAGAACAACAGGCTTGAGGCAGCAATACCAGTCCATCTCATTCATAACTAGGGGCAATTTGTTGCCAAGCCACCTTTTGGCATGTATTCGGGAAGTGGGAGGAGAACCTGAGGGAAACCCACATGGATACAGGAAGAACATTAGTCAGTGAAACTCTACACAGACAGGAACCCGAGCTCAGGACCCTGGAGATGTGAGGAAACAACGATTCCCACTGAAGACACGTGACTCCGGATTACTATAATGGTACATGATAACGTCATCATGGACCATGGACCATCCAAATGACCATCATCACCACTTCTGGGTTTCTTTTAAAAGCGGATTTTTTTTATTTATTTTTTTACCTTTCACCCTGATATAAAGGCAGTCCCACTCAGAACCTAGAACAAACAGCTGTATGGTTCTGAATTCAAAATTTCAAAGCACATTTTCCCAGGTTTGTCTATTGAAGACCTCCCAAAGTCAATTTTGGAGCGAGCTCTCATTTACGCCTTGCTAATTCAAGGCATGCGCTTAAGCTGGGTTTACACTGTATGACTTCCAGCCCGATTCTGCTGTTTAAATCGTCAAATTAGCATTTAAATCTTCATTCTATTGTCTGAGAACACACACTGAGAACATAGTCTGGAGGACACACAGTCAGTTACAGAATTCAGCCAAGTTTTGATTGGGATCTCGTACCATGTGACCAGTGATGGCTTTAAAAGTCCAGCAAAATCACACAGCGTAAAACTAACTGTAGATTCCACGAAGCTAAAACAAAGCTAGATAAATTCATCAAGTGACATTGTGAGCGCATTACATTGGTGTAAACTGGTCCTGTCGCATCTAATAGACTGTTTGAAACCTGTGGCATTACAATATGATCCACTACTGGAGTCTCGGTCAGAACTTTGGTTTGGGAATCTACGGTTTTATTACTGCTAAGAAAGTTCTAGGAATAAAGCAGACACCCCAAAATGTAAAAAAAAATGAAAAAACTCCTCAATTTGCAAAGAAATGTAGTCGGATTTAGCATTTTCTTCTACTTCTACTTCCTAGCGACAGTCCTGTCCTTACAGCTGATGTGTATTGTGTTGTTCAGATGTTCTCTTGCGTAGCAAAGTTAAAGAATTGTCGAACTTGAATGCGGTGAATTGCTACAAAAGCATAGGTCAAACTATCAGCACATTCAAGGTCTATCTAGAAACGCGACAAAGCTTTCGGCCGAGGTTTTAGTCCAAGCTGATCGTTCGGTCTTTCACCGGAAATCCTTTGAACTTTGAAATAACGCGCACTTCAAATAACGTTCAAAGCCTTGTTAGAGATGAGACGCTGCTTTCAGATTTGTTTACCTTTCCCTAGAACGACTTCCTGGATGGTCAGAACCTGACATGTTTCTCTTTCTTTCTTTAAAGAATGAAGTGATTGTGTAATAAAAATATGAGGAATCTCATTAATAACCGCAGGTGTGTAGATGCTGAAAGACGAGGTCAGCCATCAGCTGAGAATAAGCTCACCTGTGTACAGGTACACCGAGGAGCAAAGCTGTGTGAGGAGGGTCATGGTTTCTCTCAAACACACACACACACACACACACACTACATTTATTGACTCAAGCAGGCTTAGCAAGCTCTCTAGCTGGTGGCATTTCAGAAATTTCAGAAATGTGATCCAGCCAACTCTTATTCCACTTCATAACTGATTAGTCGAGTAAATGGAACAACTGATGTGGCGTAGCATTTGCTAAACACTGCAATCAATCTTACAATATTGAGTTACTAGGGGTTGTTTTTGTTGTTACATCACCTAAACCACAACATGACCCAGCCAGGCCTCGGGATCGACAGTAGCACGCCACGAGTGCACTCCAGATCTAAGCTAAGCTAATAATCAGCACAATCAGCTGGCTAGCTCTCACAGCAGGCTCAGCGGAGGCAGAGAAAGCTCATTTGGCCCATTTCAACCCCAGAATGAGGGCCAGATGGTCCCACCGGCGAGATCCACATGCCCAGGATAAGGGGGAGGAGACAAACCCTCAGGGGGCCGGGTAGCGAGAACATCTGATTAATCACCAAATCAGTCTTTAATCCGAGAACGGGAGACAGAGGATTAGCGGCGGACGAGGTCAGAGATCTCCAAACCCCTCTGCTCCCTGGGCAAGAACAATGAGAGCATGTTGGCACTGAAACTGATACAAATCACAGAGTCCTAGCCTCTGAACTGCAAGCTAGCTGTGCGTCATGCCACTGGACATTTCTAAAAGGAATGAAATATCGGATTCACCAAAAGTCCTGGCACGGAAGACCAGAATGAGTTTAGTAATACGAAGGTCCCCATTCAAACCTCAATTCAGAGGCAGGAATCAGAAACGGAACCATTAAACCACACGTCAACATCTCACACCACAAGTTAAACACTGTGGTATCTGTATCACACACAACATGTCAAGCACTGAGAATATCTTTACACAAAGCATTTAATCCTGTCTTTGTATTGGCTTAAGAGTGTTAGGGGAGAAGACGTTTGGCTTCATGTTCTGACAGAGCCTCTGAGTGAAGATCTATTGTCTGAAAAATGCTAGTGTTGCTTATAACGAATGAGGATCATTAGCATTACAAACATTCCAGACCAAGCCAGCAAGCATCCACTGACTTCCTTCACTTACCAGCCATGCATTCTGCCTGACAGACACATGTGCTCCTCGCCAGAGAACTCAAATACCCTGACTACATAAATACAGACTACAGGATCCAAGCAGGACAAACCAGAACCCAACTAGAACTCAGACCAGAGTAGAAAGAAACAAACAGGATTCAAACAGGAACTACCAAGAACCTCACTTCAGATTCAAGATGCAAACAAATCTCAACCAGTAGCCAACCTTAACTTAACCAGGACTCAAGCAGAATCCAACAAGAACTCAACCAGGAACCAACCAGGACCTATCCAAATCCCAACCAGAAATTAACCAGGACTCAAACAGGATCCAAACAAAACTCAAGAAAGAATCGAACAGGGATTAACCAGGACTCAGTGAGGTCTCATGCCCCACCAGACCTTAAGCAGGACTCACACCTGTTCAACTAAGCATCAGTTCAGCAGGGTTTTAACCACGATTAAAACAGGACCAAATCAGAACTCAACCAGGAACCAATCAGGAATTAACCACTCAACCAGGAACCAATCTGGACTTAACCACTAAACCAGGAACCAATCCAGACTTAACCACTCAACCAGGAACCAATCCAGACTTAACCACTCAACCAGGAACCAATCTGGACTTAACCACTAAACCAGGAACCAATCTGGACTTAACCACTAAACCAGGAACCAATCCAGACTTAACCACTCAACCAGGAACCAATCCAGACTTAACCACTCAACCAGGAACCAATCCAGACTTAACCACTCAACCAGGAACCAATCTGGACTTAACCACTAAACCAGGAACCAATCTGGACTTAACCACTCAACCAGGAACCAATCCGGACATAATTATGACCCAAATAGCTCCAACCACACCTAAGCAAAGCCAACCAAGATCCGACCACAGATCAGCACTTAAACAGGACCCAATCAGGGCCTACCAGAACCGAACCAAGATCTAGACCAAAAATGTTATGCACATCAATCTCAGAACATAATTTAAAGCCACTTGATTCTTAGTCTTTTCTAATAAGATCCCTGACATCCTGCTGTATATACACTGACACCTGTGATGCACACTCTAGTGGCCATGAAGTGATATTACACTGCTCCGCATGCTGTCGTCAGGTATTTAAACATGGCCGCCTGCGTGATGGCAGGGCTGAACTTAATCGGAACCTTTTTCTCTACTCGTGTGGTTGTTTGGAAAGTAATCACAACTCATTCATATTAAGACAATGATTGGGGCAGAAATAAGGGAATAAATGGTTGTGGTAAACAAACACACACACACACACACACACAAACGCTACACATTCTGGACAACACTGTATGCATCGGAGACACTAGCTGTTATACATTACACAGTGCTAAGTACTAGCTATTTAGTATCGTCCATCCCTTAATGTCGAAGTCTACCTCTCTCTCCCTATCCCTCCTCTCTCTCCCCTCTCTCTCTCTCTCCCTATCCCCCTCTCTCTCTCCCCTCTCTCTCTCTCCTATCCCCTCTCTCTCCCCCTCTCCCTATCCCCCTTCTCTCTCTCCCCTCTCTCTCTCTCCCTATCCCCTTCTCTCCCCCCTCTCTCTACCCCTCTCTTCCCCTCTCTCCCTATCCCTCTCTCTCTATCCCCTCTCTCTCTCTCCCTATCCCCTCTCTCTCCCCTCTCCCTATCCCCATCCCTCTCTCTCTCCCCCCTCTCTCTC